ATCTCACAGTACATGTGATGACATGACAAATGTCATTCAAAAGTATTTCAACAACTGTTTGCTTTTAACATTCAATTTTAAAGTATATGGACTTTCCTGAAGGAAAACCACTCACTGTTAGGAATTCATTTGTTCCTTTGAATTTTCTCATCACTACAGTTAAAAATGATCATTGATGTGACCCCACTAATGACTAAAAAGTTGAACAAACTTTACTAAAATTAAAATATTCAAACAAAATTCTACTAGTATATGGCCATCTTTATTGGCTCTTTAACCTGGAGCTGCAGGGCTACACCTTGGAGAAGTGTAAGTAAATGTCTACACAGATAAATAGCTTTGACAAGCTGAGGAAACAATGCTTAATTGATCTATTAAGCAATCTGAGTGTACAGTGAGGAAGGGGTCTGTATATTTGTGCAGTCATCCTATGCAAATATGTGGATTGAGTAGAAGCCCTGGAGGCAGAGAAGAGCTGGGGAGAAGAGTGTGAATGGAGTGAGCTGTCATGTACAGATTAATGTCATGCTGAGGAAGCTGGATGTGAATGCATTGCATAGCTCATTCAGCTGTCCACTGCAATCAGTCTGTCTGATGAAAATCCATGAACAGTCAGTGAGGGTTTTGATTCTTCATTATATATATTGATTGAAGAATTAACTCCATATGGCTTCAAAAGCATTGGATTACTGGTCGCTTTGCTGGCCTGAGTAATATATTTAGCAGCTCATCGTGCCTACTGTGGCGTTGTCCATTTGGTCTTCAAAAGGTTTGGATGCTATAAAGAAACCTAAACAGCATATGTCCACAGTACTAATAGCTGTAGGTCCCCTTGTAGAACTGGTGGCCAACTTACCTAATGTTATCTCTTGATAACAGCAAAATACTTTTAACCTCCGCAACTGACTTTCAGAGGACCATTATTTAAAAATTTTGATATACTGATAATACATCTATTAAGAGTATTCATTGTGTGAATCTCCTTTTTTCATCATATGCCTTTATTTTTATTTTTTCCACCTGTACTTGCAGACCAAATAGTTCAGTAGCTAACAGCCAACATTTTGATTTGCAAAATCTGGCTGTCACTGACAGCTTCGGTTCCTACTAATGACTGGGATCCAATGTGGTTGCCAATCACGGGATCACTATGTAAGCTATGACAGTAATCACATGCAAGCTAGAGGTTTAATTCAGAAAAAAAAGGATTTTAGCAGGCAGAGGCTGCTGTAGAATGTAAAAGGCCTCTGTCTAACACTGTAAATGTCTGATACTATTAGAGTATTAAACAGTTTTGAACATTTTCTAAAATATTTACAAACGTTTTAAAACCTTAAAATGAATTTAATTTTGTTTTAACTAATTAAAATTATTTCTTTACTTTACTATAGTTCTGTCACAATTTTCCTACTGTAAAATGTTTCCACTCTTACTAAGGACATACAGTATACGGTACTTTGTTTTAATAAATACCCTGCTCATAGTTTATATGACAGTATTAGGCAGCAGTAAAGTCTATTTGAAAAATGGCCTCTCTGCAGCACATTGTGGCAAAATTATTTGTCAAAAGAAACCCTCTGGTGATGTGCTGTCACCACGGCCGGGGCTTCTGACTTTACCCGATCTTCCTTCAGGGTTCATGCATTTTGACTGTTTGAATGGCCAGGCCATTCCTGTACATGCACGCAGGATTCACAATCATGGCACAGTGTTCTGCATTCCTTGGCACGCTTAATGAGCGCTGATTAGCGTGCACAGATGATGTTATCAGCTATTGCAGATGTGCTTATTCCCTAAACAGTGCACATTTAGAAAATATTTATTGTACCTACAGGTGAGCCATATTTTAAGCTTAGCTGTAGGTACATATTTAAACATAGAGCTTACTACCACTTCACTGTGAAAGGCACAATCACAGATCAAAAGGCAAGCATCTGCTTCTTTGGAAACAATTTTGGTTTGATTGGTTCCCCATTGCTGTATCTGACATTATGATGGGGTGCAGCCAGCACCTGCAGAAACCTATACATCCTCTTTCTTCTCTCTCCTGTCATTCCAAGAAGAGGCCAAGTGTACATTTAAATTGACCCTAGCTGAAACTTCCCTGGGCCTAAAGGCTGTATTAACCTCCATATGATAGTGTTGGGTTCTTAGTGTCCTGTTACTTAGCCTCACATATGTCATGTAGAAAGAAAGGGGAAGCAATACCTGCTCCCCTGTACTTCCATGTACCAGATATATTTCTTCACAATATGGAGCATAAAAGCAAAATGCACACATAGCGCATTAAGTGGTTTTATTCATGTTAAAAGCAAAGGAATTGCACACACAAATCTTAAATATCAAATGAGCTTGGGCACCACCCAACACACTAAAAGAAAAGCTCTCCCTCTCCCTGTGCTCGTGCACAAAGACGAACGCATCCATAGGTCGCACACACATATGTAAACGGTGTTTGCACCACACATGTGAGGTATCGCTACAAATGTTATAGCAAGAGCAATAACTCTAGCACCAGACCCCTTTGTAATTCTAAATTAGTGACCAGTAAAGGTTTTTAAAGCGCCACCTATGGAGATTTTTAAGTACTGTAGTTTGTTGCCATGCCGCAAGTGTGTGCAATTTTAACCACTTGAGCTCCAGAGGATTTACCCCCTTAATGACCAGGCCTCTTTTTGCTACTCGGCGCTGCACTAATTCAACTGATAATTGCGCAGTCATGCAATGCTGCACCCAAACGAAATTTACAACCTTTTTTTCACACAAATAGAGCTTTCTTTCGGTGGTATTTGATCATCTGTGCGCTTTTCATTTTTCACGCTATAAACAAAAAAAGGCCAAACATTTTGAAGAAAAACAATATTTTTTACTTTCAGCTATAAAAAATATATAGTAAACTCAAAGTTGGTTATAAATGTAGGCCAAAATGTATTCTGCTACATGTTTTTGGTAAAAAAAATCCCAATAAGTGTACATTGATTGCTTTTTGTGAACGTTATAGCGTCTACAAACTATGGTATAGATACTGCAATTTACGCCATTTTTTTGCTATACAGCACTGTGCTAGTTTAACGGACAATTCTGCGATCATGCAATACGGTACATAAATGACATTTACATCCTTTTTTCTCCACAAATTGAGCTTTCTTTCGGTGGTATTTGATCGCCTGTGTGTTTTTTATTTTTTGCGCTATAAAAAAAAAGGCTGACAATTTTGAGGAAAAAAAACAATATTTTGGACTTTTTGCTATAAAACATGTCCAGTAAAAAAAAATTTAAAAATCAAATTTAGTCATAAATTTCTGCCAAAATGCATTCTGCGACATGTCTTTGCTAAAAAAAAAACCCAATACGTGTAAATTAATTGGTTTACGTGAAAGTTATAGCGTTTACAAATGGCGGGAAAGATACTGGGATTTTTAGTTTTTTTTTTATACTAATAATGGCGGCGATCAGCAACTTATGGCGGCGATCAGGGACTTATGGCGGCGATCAGCAACTTATGGCGGGACTGCGGGACTGCAGGACTGCGGCGGACATTCTGACATTGGGGGTACTGACTTGGGGTCACTGACATCCCCAGTAACACCAATACAGTGATCAGTGCAAAAACAAAACACTGACACTGTACTAAAGGCAATGGGGAGGAAGGGGTTAACTTTATTTGGCAGGGAATGGTTATCTGAGTGAGGGGGAGTGTTTTACTAGGGGGCGGGGGTGTGTACTGAAGGGAACACCACTGATCGGGAGAGGGAAACACTTCTGTCCCAGTCAGCGTGTTCTCGAGCTGTTAGGGAAGTGACAGATAGCACAGCTACTGCAGCTGTGCTCTCTGTCACTGATTGCTGCCGATCGCCGGGTCATAGCCGGTAAGGACCGGCTGTGACCCGGTGACTGACATCCGCGGCTGTGATCGGCGGGACAAGCAGGGTGGCGGCGTGCCTCGCGCACACCCCCTACCTGTTTACAAAACACACGTTTTAAAACGTGGTTTTGCCTGCCCGTGCCGCCCTGCCGCCGTATTTCTACAGTGGCAGGGCGGCAAGTGGTTAATTATATTGTGTATGTGTGCATTAAAATTCATTAAAGTTTTTTTTTTATTGCATTTGAAAAATCTCTGCACAAATACCGTGTCACAAAATTGCAATAGCCACCATTGTATTTTCTAGGGCCTCTACTTAAAATAATATATAATGTTTGGGGGTTTTAAGTAATTTTCAAGCAAAAAAATGCTGATTTTTACAAGTAGGGGAGAAGTGTCAGAATTGGACCAGTAGGCAAGTGGTTAATCACCTATTGGCATTTCTAAAGTGAACTCTACAGGTTCCTTATATAAACTCGTAAAACATCCAGATGGATATATAAAATAACCTATACTTGCTGACCTAAAACTAAAAGCGAAAAGATTAAAATAGATTAGGCTTAATTCACTAAGGAGGGTAAGTTATTTTAAATCCTTTTATTTCAGCTTGTGATAATTTTCTCATAAAATTTTACAAGCATAAATATCTCTTAGGCATGTAATCCTTATTTTCCTTATAAAATGGAAAATAAACTTTAATCCTTATCTTCTCATATAAAAACTGTTATTTTATCAACACCTCAATTGATCCTTTTCATGCCACTCTCAATAGGCACATGTTGAAACTCACAATGTTATTATAAGGAGTGATAAACTGCGATCATCTTTGTGAATTGACTTTTTCATGAATAGTTACAGAGCAGGCTTAATAAAGCAGGTTATTTACCTTTGTGAGTTGAGCCTTAAGGCATCAAGGAAATAATGACCAAATGAGAAAAACAGCTTTGAGAATTGAACTTATTTGGGGTTTATTTACCCACCTCCCGCCCGCCATATAGTCCAATGACGGGCACAAGGTGGTTCTCTCATTCTGGGAGGACGTTATATGATGTCCTCCCATTCTCACCGCGCATGCGCGGCTCAGGGAGCGCGCAGCACGGTGATCAGTGGTGCTCTGTGTCCCTCGGACACAGCGGATCACCGATCACGGAAAGAGCCGAAGATGTCAGCTCGGTCATGTGATCAGCTGTGTCCAATCACAGCTGCTCACATGTAAACACGGAAATGTCGGTTATCGGCATTTCTCTCCTCTCGAGCTTTCCGCGGAGGGGACATGTACACTGATCATCAGGGCACTGATGATCAGTGTGCCCTGATGATCAGTGTAGCCCCAGCAGTGCCACCTGTCAAAGTCCATCAGTGCCAGCTCTCAGTGCCACGTGCCAGTGCCTATCAGTGCCACATATCAGTGCCCATCTGAGCTGCCTTTCAGTGTCATCCATAAGTGCCAGTCAGTGCCACCTATCAATGCCAATCAGTGCCACCTATCAGTGCTGCCAATCAGTGCCACCTATCAGTGCCAGTCAGTGCCACCAATCAGTGCCAGTCAGTGCCGCCTATCAATGTGCATCAGTGCCACCTATCAGTGCCAGTCAGTGCCGCCTAACAGTGCCAGTCAGTGCCGCCTATCAGTGCCAGTCAGTGCCGCCTAACAGTGCCATATATCAGTGCCATATATTAGTGCAATCTATCAGTGCTGCCTTTCAGTGCCCATCAGTGATGCCTGGCAATGCCCATCAGTGCCACCTACCAGTGCCTCCTCATAAGTGCCCATCAGTGCCGCCTATCAGTGTCCATCAGTGCCGCCTATCAGTGCCAGTCAGTGCCGCCTAACAGTGCCATATATCAGTGCCATATATTAGTGCAATCTATCAGTGCTGCCTTTCAGTGCCCATCAGTGATGCCTGGCAATGCCCATCAGTGCCACCTACCAGTGCCTCCTCATAAGTGCCCATCAGTGCCACCTATCAGTGTCCATCAGTGCAACCTATCAGTGCTATCACCTATCAGCCTATCACCTATCAGTGTCCATCACTGCAGCCTCTTTAGCGCACATCAGTGAAGGAGAAAAATCACTTATTTACAAAATTTTATAACAAGAACTAAGAAAAAACTTTTTTTTTCAAAATTTTCAGTGGTTTTTGGTTTGTTTAAGAAAAAATAAAAAAACCCAGAGGTGATTAAATACCACCAAAAGAAAGCTCTATCTGTCACAAAAAAAATGATAAAAATTTCATATGGGTACAATGTTGCATGACCGCGCAATTGTCATTCAAAGTGTGACAGCACTGAAAGCTGGAAATTGGCCTGGGCAGAAAGGGGGTATAAGTGCCCAGTAGGCTAGTGGTTAATAAACAAATAGAGAATATTCACTTAGTGAATAAGGCGAATTTGTGTTCACTGCAATCATCCAATCATGTACAAACAATACTCTGATTTTATTATTTCTTGCAACTGGATCATGATTCAAAGTGAACACAGATTTCTTAATTTATTGAGCTATGTCAGTATACACTTTGCAAGAAAATAGTCACCACAACAGCCTTTTATCAGACAATGCTGACAATTGGGAGTAATACACATAAATCTTGTACTGTATATGCCAAGCAATCCTATCATATGAAAATTACAATTAAAAAATTGTGAACAACACGCGTGTGTAAAAAAAATCCACATGAATGTAGTATTGTGCAATCGTGCAAGAATGCTTACCTACATGGTAGTGTAACAGGTAGAGGGATCATCCAAATAATCAGAAAGTTTGGTAATAAAGAAAAAGTATGAGAACTCACATGTAAAAAAGTTATTTAAAATGGCCTCCGGCCTTCCATGCAGCTGTCTGCGGTGTAACATCAGTATGGCAGGCTCCTTGCTGACGCATATTGTGCCCGAGCATGTTATCAAAGGGAACGAAACACGTCAAGTAGGAGCCTGCCATAGTGGCGTCACACTGCATGAGTGCTCATACTTTTTCTTTATTACCAAACTTCTGAATAATAAAATACTACACTATTAATGCTTCATATGTCTCTGGCTTGATTTATACAAGCCTCCAAGGTGGAGATTATCCTATTCCTTGATGTTATTGATCCAGTGGTCTGATGCTTTCACAGCGAAGTCCAGGATGGATCTGGGTACACAGGCAAACCACTGTAGGTTGTGGCTGGAGGTATTCCAAAGTTGGTACCACAGGCTGGAAACGCAGTATCACTCTACTTGTGCAGTACTGTGGTAGCAATTGGAGCAGTGCTGCTCACAGTAGTTGGGTCTTTGGTAGAAGCTACATGGGATAGCACAAAGGAGTTTTATATACAATAATCAAGACACAATACAATAATATTCAAATACAACGTTCTTTATTGGAAAATATTTGGCCATGTGCTATGAAAATGGTAACCTCAATTAAACAAATTACTTAACATATATTTATCTATATATATATATATAGTCCTTTTTGGCTAAACCATCAAGAATAAATTCAGTCACGATGTCCGTCCAGATAAACTGGACGACTAAACCCCAAAACCCATATGTCAAGGCCGATGTCTGACAGGTGAACTCATTACGGAAAAGGCCAGGCAAAAAACCTTCAAGTTCAATATGAAGGTATGAAAATCAGCCACTAGGAATCAAAAAATTATGGATCCTCCTATTAAGATGTCTATGAATTCTATAACTGTAAAAAAGCTTACCCAAAGGAGACCATAAAAGCCTGGGAACCATCTCAGAATACGCCAAGACAGTATGAGGAAATAAAAGCTTACAAAAACTTAAGCCTCTTTTCATTTCACAAAGAAGATCCCATGTCCTAATCCTTCCAATGTCATTTGCCCCGGCATGGATAATTAGTATGTCAGGCAAAGGCCAAATACTGGATAAATAGACCAGTTGGTCTCTAAAATTCCTCCAATGGAGACCTTTAACGCCCCACCAAAAAACCTGAAATGCATTAGAGTTCAAACCTAAATTAGTGGAATAACTCCTGGTTTCGGCTCACTTCTTGGCCAAATAGATAAAATGACCAACTATCCAATCCTCTTGCCTGGAAGACCTGAAAATTTTAAGAAAAAGGAAACTTCTGCCAAAATTCTATCCAAATAATGCCAAAATTCTATGTATTGAAGCAGGACTGAGATTGGAATGAATTAAATTAGAAACAAAAGACAATGCCACATAAGCATTTACCTCAAATGGATTAATATTCATGTTAGAACAAAAGAACACCATTTATACCAAGAGTCAAGATAATCCTCCCAAGCTTTGCCTGAAACAGATTTCTTGAGGGACAAAGCAATCAATCCCAGATCAAGTCCCAGAGGAAATCTGGGCAAAGGGAACCGCTCGGATCTGCTTCTGGAGCCAGTTCTCGGGATCTGCAAAACTAAACGAGATAAAGAATCTGCTATGTTATTCTCCATTCCCGAGATGTGTTTAGCTTTTAGAAATATGTTATATCTCATGCAATGTAATACAAGAAAACAGAGTAACTTAATCACCAATTCAGATTTAAAGGATAAATAATTGATAGCAAACCGGACACCATTATTATCTGTGTGTAACAGAATGCGACGCTTCTTAAATGTATTGCACCAGATGACAACTGACACCACTACAGGGAATAATTCTAATAGAACTGTATTTTGTCGAATTTCTGGAATCTTCCAGCTACTATGCCATTCGGAGGCACACCAATGGCCTTGTAAAAAAGCACCGAAGCCGATAAATCCAGAAGCATCCGTGAAGAAACCCAAGTCGAAATGATCAATGAAATCCTCTTGCCAAATTGTAGATCCATTAAAATTACACAAAAAACTATCCCAAATTTTCAAGTCTTCCTTAGTTTGTTTGGAAATGGTAATATGTGTATAAGGATTTTTTGATTCCTTTCTGGCTAGAGCCAATCACCGAGAAAATATTCTAGCAACTGGAATCACCCTAGCCGCAAAGGCAAGAAGACCAAGCAGGGATTGCACTTCTTTTAACAAAGCTTTTCGTCTACCCAGGAAAGACGAAATTAAAAGCTTGAAACGAGTCAATTTATTCAAAGGCAGCCTAAATTCCATATTCAAAGAAGCTATGGTAATGCCAATCAATTCAATGACTGTAGTTGGTAATATCGTTTTTTCTTGAGCAAGAGGAATGCCAAAAGATTTGCAGATATTAAAGAAACAAACTAATGACTCGTAACAGGCGCTGGAATTGGGAGGGCCAATGATAAGAAAATCATCTAAATAATGAAGATAACCACCTTCTGGTGATAATTCAGATTGTACCCATTGTAAAAAAGTAGAGCATTGTAAAAGTAGAAGCATGATAAAGAAAAACCCACAGGCATACACTTATCAAAATAAAATTAACCATTAAAATAAAAACCCAGCGAACTGAAACCTTGTGGGTGTACAGGTAGCAAACGGAAGGCAGATTTTATGTCCGCTTTTGCTAATAGAGCTGATCTACCAAAGCGTTGTAGTAAAATCAAGGCCTCATCAAAGGATGCATAAGAAACTGAAATGTCAAAATCTGCAACCTCGTCGTTAAGAGAACTATCAGGGGAGTAATATAAATGATGGATCAGATCCAGGCTCTGTCTTAGGAACCAAACCTAATGGAGATATTCTAAAAAAAAGGGGGAGTCAAAAAGGGGCCAGCAATCCTATCTGCACTGAATTCTTTATTAAATTTAACGATTTAAACGATTTCTGAATGCAAAAGGGTTGAACGTAACTTTTTAACTGGGAAACAACCTTTACCGTTTAAAGAAGGAACTAGGAAACCTTCTTTGAGCCCTTTACACAGTAGATCCTCCATACTGCTGTTTGGGTAGTAATCGAAATATGGTAACATTTTTGACAATATCACTGGCGTCTTGGTTTTTAATATTTGGATCCCGGTTTTGAAGTTGAAATGATGTAGCGGAGGATTTTCGAAAGCATCTAAAGGCTGGGTGTGACCCATTACAGTATGAACACTCGTGTTTGTGTCTACAGTTAGATAGGAATCTACACTGGCTTTCGTTAAATGCAAAACAGAATCCTTTACGAAAGGAATTCTGATTGACATTAGGCTTTTGTGGGGTTAAAGATCTTTGTGGTAACATTAAATTCAACCATAAACCAACATCTTTAATTCCCCAATGTAAAGATGAATGGACTGAAAGCTTCTGTCTAAAATTTTCATCATAAATATACCAGACTGTACCACCAAAATGTCGGAAAGCCTCCGCTACAATCTCCAAACGTTGAAACAAGCCTGAGCATCTTTCCGGGTGAAATGTTCACCCAATACAGCAGCGTATATACAAAAACATTTAGGTATAGCCCTTCTCCTATCTTCTTCTGTTCTGTCTTCCCCTTTTTTTTCCATTTTAACCAAAAATTCCTTGGATGCTGGTAATAAAGATAAAATATCCACAAAATCTCCCTTTCAAATGTTTTCTTTTACTGAGGGGGCCAGGTGAAAACCTAAGAGACATATTTCACAAGGAAAGTGGTTCTTTAAGGCATGTTTCCTCTATAATTGGCTTAGAAACTGCCGGAAAATTTATTGGAAGTAATGGCGTATTAACCGATAAGAATGAAGAAGCGCTGACAGGGACAGATGGCTTATTATGAGGTACGCTAGGCATATTTTCATTAGACACTTTTTGCCCTTGCCTAATTGTACTAACATCCAACATATTTTTTTTTTCAAAGATGCAATTGAAGCAATAGGGTCAGAACCAGAAATTTGAGAAGAATTTTGAGAAGAATTATTATTTAATGCACCAGAACCCTGTGCCC